TACTTTTAGCTAGTCTTACTGTGCTAATCATCAGAGCGACATTTTGGAGCTCTTACGCTGAAATGCTCACTTAACCCTATAACTACTCAAAACAGTACAAATTTGAAAAATGCTTTCAGACGTCTCAAATTCACCGCCTCTCGCTATTGCGACGCAAAAGATGGCCGCTCTGAAAGATACTCTCAGTGACCTCCAATCATCGTTTTCAGCTAGTATTATGGTAGAAAACATCAGACCGACATTTTGGAGTTGTTACCGTGAAATCCTCACTTAATCTTGTTACAACCCAAAACATGGCCAATTAAAAAAATGCTGTCAGACGCCTTTAAATCATCGTATTTTGACTCCATTACACAACATCAACAGACAAAATGTAAAGGCAAAAAAGTTTAATTCTGGACGGCTTGGCGAGAACCAACCCTAAAAGCATGTTAAAACACTCGTAAATAAACTAGCTTTCACAAAAAGAAAGAACTGCTACATCTGGTCGATCTCGACCTGAATCCCCCATTTAAGCACGCAGGCTTAGTGTCATTTAGAGTAAAACTCTGATCAACGCATAACTGGGACAGGGAACACTGAAGGACCGTAGAAGCTGAGCGCCGGGAAAAAACTGAGAATCGATCACTAACGTACCCAACAAGGCATGTAGGCGAATTGCCAATAAGGCTACCATAAATCCTTATAAGAAGGCTGTAACATTGTCAGCAATCTAACAGCATCAAGCTAGACATATCTTGCCACTTAAGAGCGGCCCCAGGACAGCTGACCTAAGCATACATAGAAACCAAACATATAAAAAATCAAATGATTTATTTCATATACATCTAACGTAAATATATTAAGTAAAGGAATAGGTAGACAACTGTGAAAACCGAACAAGTACATAAGATAAGAAACGGAAAAACAACAAACTGAAAACTAGCAGAGCTGAGCTACCGCTTACAACTGAAACAAATGCGGTAAGACGGAGGCCAGAAAAAACCTGCCCCCAAAAAACCCCGAAGGGATAAAATGCGGGCAGGAAATCTGGGTAGGAACTAACGCTCAAGCTCAAAGCCCTTCCTACGGGACTTTACAATGCAATCGAGAATAGACTGCTCCTAAAAAAAATTAATAAAGAAAAATAAAGAAAAAACCAAAGAGAGGTTGGTTCAGAAGCCTAGATGACATACATGTGATATACCCCCGATATGACCCTGTTGTATCTCGTGCGGTCAAAAATATTTATTTCTGTCTTCTTCGCCGGCTCATTCGCCAGAAATAACATATTTTGACTCCACTACACAACATCAACAGACAAAATGTAAAGGCAAATAAATTTATTTTGGGACGGCTTGGCGAGAACCAACCCTAAAAGTACGTAGAGTGACAAAGTATTGGTCGAAATAGCGAATGAAAGCTCCTAGAGCCCAAGAGACTTGGAAACTGAAAGCCTTTTTTTAAGATAGAAGGATTTGATTGGCTGGAATCGACAGAACTTGCTATCGATAAGCGAAAATTCTTACTCAATCGATTGTACGAAAAGCAGCCCATTCCACCATATCAAGACTAGACCTGCTATGAATGTTATAGAATGTTTTTTTCCTGGACCTTTGTATTGTTGCGTTTCAATAAAATCTGTAAACAACCAAATTTTAAGAGTGTTCTATTGCTGACTTGAAACTAATAACAATAACATATAGATTTAGCCAGGGTAAAAAGCGAAGCTCTCGATAATGTTTATAGTTTGTTCAAACAAAATATAAGCTAAGCGAAGAAGGCAACGCCGGAGAACGGTGAAAAAACAACAATAGGTCTAATTAGCAAAAAAAGTTACTTTGCACGTGCAGCACACTTTTTTTGTACATTTCTCTGCCGTTGTTTTGCACGACCACAACGTGAAACTTTCAGAAACTTTTTTATGGAGAAAATGTCGTACGTGTTCTCGTTCACTTTTTTTTCACTGCCGCTTTTTCTCTGTCTTTCTCCTGCTATATATTCCAAATTTGTGGACATGACAATTAATCTAAGCTTAGTACTTTAGAAAACCCGGATATAGAAACAATTTCCGCTTTCCGGTTTCGTCTTTATTGACTCTTTAGTTGCCTATGCTCTACAGGCGCGGGTGGCCATGCGATTTCCGCCAATATAACCTCGAGTTGCATTTGGGTTACCATACCTGTTGATTAAGTTATTTCACATTGGTATGCCTGTGGTGCGGACGGACGGTCGGGCGTACGTTCACGTGATTACCAAATTTTCTCGGATGGGTAGATTACCACATTTTCTTACACATGGTGCTCCGCTAATAGTAAACTTGTACAATAAATAAAAAAATCTGAAATTTGAAATACCAATTACTAATTCACGATCAAACCTTTTTTAATTAGGCACTGTGATTACACTTAATAAAGATGATGATTCCAATGTTGAGAGCTGTTGCGTGACTAGCGACCCGCGACACCCACGCGTGTGTCAGAATTATAAAGACACATGACTGAAAATGGCCTGTTTGTCTCCTTTTGTCCTTTTTGGTCTGGTTTTGGCCTTTCAGACCTGGTTATGGCCTTTCTGGTCTGTTTGGCCTTTCTGACACTCTATATAACCTGACTATTTGCGAAAAATATGTCATTTGTGTTCAGTCATCGAATTGTCATCATGGTTTACAAGAGGGGCGACGTACCTTGTCAGATTAGCTAACCATCTCGCGGATGTTCATCAGTTAGACCACAGCGAGGACAGTATTTACAAGAGGCGAACTGCAACCTAAAGTTAAAGTCTTCGCTTATGAAAGTGAAGCGAATAATTCCGGAAAAAATCACTCAACCAGTACTCGCAAGCCAGTACAGACACAAGAAACGGTGTACGAACTGTCAAGATCACGAAGAAATGAAGCCTCTTTTAAAGCAAAAGCTAAAAGAACAACTGCAAAGAACAAGACAAACCGAAAGAAACAAAGTAGGTCGAACTCTTGGCTTAGAGGCCATAGGAAAATTGTGTAGACACGAAAGGATTACTTATTATTCCTCGAAATGGGACGGAGAAAACGAATTTGTAATAGTCAGTCAAAGGATTAATTTTCATTCCTTTCAAATCGCTGTGTATTTGACTCTTTTTGTAATTGGTTTTTAAAACGGTATCTCGTGTCTTTTTCTCGTGTATTTTATTGCTAGCAATTATAAGTCGCGTGTTTCAATTGATCCTAGAACAAATCCAGATGGCGGCCAGGAGGGGACTAAAACTAGGTGCCTCGGGATTGCAACATCCAGCGCTCTTACCGCTTGGCCACACAGTAACAAGATGGTAGGTATCTTCTTTCCCCATAAACGGTTTTGCAGTGTAATTAGACACAACACCGACAAAACCTCAGCTTAAATTACGTTTTATATTTCCATCCCGATTATTGCCACATGCTCAAAGAGAAAAGTCGTTACGTCACGTTGCCATGGTCGCAAAATTTGTGGATCTCAACAGACCGTGGTCCTGCAAATATGACAGAAAAAACGATAAAAATGACACATATGATTTTCCTGTACATCATTGCACTCCGAAAGAAAACGGTAGCCCATACTTTCCTTCCATCGTTCGATAATGCAAATGGCCCTCTCGGTCAAGAAAGATTGTTGAGATCCAGAAACTTTGCAACCATTCTCCACTTAAAAAACGAGAAGGGAACTGGAGTCAAAATGCGTCCCGCAATTGTTTCTGGCTTCGTTACTGAGGACGCACCAGTCGGCTATTGGTCAATTGTTTTTGCTGTGCCTAGTAACAGTCCCAGAAGTCTTTGCAAAAGTTAACTCTGCCCAGTTTCCCTCTCGTTTCTAAAGAAGTGAATGGTAACGTCACGTTGCACTTCTCTCTATTATGCACAGACTGTAAAATAATGCATCTCTATTATTCGTTCTGTTTACGACGTCCTATTTTTTTACACGTTGCAGATAATAAAATTCGATGTTGTTATTTTCATGTCTTCACAGAAGGAGCCAATGGATCGTCCCACGGGCCTCCTCCTTGTTGCCTTGTGACATTGTCCGTAATTGTATTAGGTGATATTGTTAAAATTGACGTTACAGTCTGATTTAATTAGTTAAGTTTTCGCGCTCCGGTAATCCTGACTATTCTGTTATTTGCTTTTTCTTATAGGTCTCTAAACAGTGACCTGTTACCTAACTTGCAGTTCAGCTAAGTCGCTACATGAGTAGGACGGTGTAGCAGTAAGATAGGTTACTGTCTGGTTTCGTTACACATTCACTATGCATTCTTTTATGTAAACCTTTGAGAGGGTATTGTCCGGTAGAACCTGTTGTATTTCCCCTTCTTTAAGCCTGCCCCACCAATGTTACAAGTTTCCTGTTTTTCCATTACATAGCGGAACTAGGATGTAGAAAGCGAACTCGCATCAAGCGAAATCGACAGGTTGATAGTCTCCGACGCAGCCGTTTTTGTCTTGAGACAAGAATAAAACGGTTGCCTGGGAAACTAACGAGTGCAAAACTTTAATTTTAATTTTTAACAAGCTTTAAAAGGAAAGTATAAAACTGGTGTAAAGCTGTTGTCGAGTTCAAGTCGCGCGCGCATGTAGCTAAAAGCCTTATAGTATCTTAAGGTGAAGTTACACAGGACGATTCTTAAAGATCAATTTCGCGACGTTAAAAGTTGATACCGTGTAGCATGGATGCTTGGTCGATTTTCTGCGCAGTGTTTGTGTTGCATTCTTTTAAACAGGCTTCATATACTTGCAAGGCCAATTCACGAATTCCACCCAAGTTAGTTGGTGTAACATACGTTTCGTTATTAATCGTTCCGTGTAACATCTGCTTAAACACAAAGACTTTGTCTGCTTAAACGCAGACATTGTCATCAAAGCGGCCGATAAGGGTGGTGCTGTCGTGGTATGGTCACGCCCACTATACATCGCCGAAGCAAATCGTCAACTGTCCGATGGTAGGTTCTACGAACGCCTAGACCAAGATCCTCTTAAGGAAAATCAGAATGTGGTTAAAACAACAATAACTGAAATGCTTAGAGACAACAAGCTTCCACCGTCAGCCAAGGGTATAATTGTCCCTACACCTCAAACCTCACGGTTCTACCTGCTTCCTAAGATCCACAAAGCAGGCAACCCTGGCAGACCAATTGTTTCCGCGTGTTGTTGTCCCACCGAAAATATAGCTTCCTACTTNGAAATGCTTAGAGACAACAAGCTTCCACCGTCAGCCAAGGGTATAATTGTCCCTACACCTCAAACCTCACGGTTCTACCTGCTTCCTAAGATCCACAAAGCAGGCAACCCTGGCAGACCAATTGTTTCCGCGTGTTGTTGTCCCACCGAAAATATAGCTTCCTACTTGGATCAGATTTTGTGCCCCCTTGTGCGCAATCTTGGGACCTATGTAAAGGATACCAACCACGCCCTTCGAATCTTTAATGATTTCCATTTTGACAACACAACAACTGGCGAACGCTTCCTCTACACTATGGACATAAAATCATTATATACCGTTATCCCCTACAACAGTGGCCTTGAAGCGTTAGCCTATTTCCTAAACAAGCGTCCAGTTCTCGACCCACTTACAAGCACACTCACCCGTCTTGCTGAACTTGTGCTGACCCTCAATGCCTTTACCTTTAACGGAGATTTTTGCCAGCAAATCGGGGGGATCGCCATGGGCAGTAAGATTGGCCCAAACTATGCATGTCTTTTTGTTGGATACGTTGAGGAGCGGATAGTAAGCTAGTACCACGGCTTTGTACCTCAACTACACAAGAGGTACACCGATGATGTCATCGGAGTCGCATGTTGTAGCCGCGTGGACCTGGAAAACTATATTCGCTTCGTATCCAACTTTCATCCTGCTCTTCAATTTACCCAAACAATCTCTGACACTGAACTCTCTTTCTTCGATATCACGTTACGCATTACTGATGATCACATCAGCACTACCATTCACTACAAGGACACTGACACCCAGACCTATCTTCATCATCAGTCCTCACATCCCAGCCATTGCAAAAAAGGTCTTCCTTGCAGTCAACTCTTGCGACTTCGCCGTCTGTGTTCTGAGGACTCAGATTTTCTGGACAAGGGCAGTGAAATGGTGTCTTTCTTTGAACAACGTGGATACTCCCCCGCCTGTTTACAGAACGATCTCCAGGCCATCCGACGGTTAGACCGGGCTGGTGTACTAAACAATCACAACCCCTCTAATCAAAGATCAGAAAGGATTCCTTTGGTTCTTACTTACCATCCTTTAAACGAAAGAATCAAGAGAATCCTACTTCGTAATTTCAACATCTTGTCGAGTGACCCTGAAACCAGAGCAGTCTTTCCGCAGCCACCGTTGGTCGCCTATCGCCGTGACAGCAACCTCCGTGATATCCTCGTACACACTTCGGATAGCAGCCAATCCAGTGTTCAGGCGGGTACATCTCCGTGCTTACACGCTCGCTGCCGCGCTTGCCATTACATTTGTAGCGATACTAGTGTCCGTGGCCCTCAATACTCGTTTGTCATCAAGAAGGCGTTCTCTTGCCAAACGTCTGGCTTGGTCTACTGCATCACCTGTCGCCGTTGCCCTGCCGTCTATATCGGCGGAACAGGGCGTTCGGAGCATTGAAAAGAACTTGCCGGGGTTTCCTGTGGCTGAACATTTTAACGCGGCTGGTCACTCAATCGACGACGCTTTGGTTCGAGGAATGATGCTCTCTGTAGATAACGCGCAACGGAAGCGCCTGGAAATGCGGCTGATATTTCAACTTGGCACCAGTCAACCGCGCGGTTTAAACTCCGACTTTCGTTTCCTCTAGGCCGCGCGCAGAGCCGCGCGTGCACTATAAGGCCTTTAATTTTTTATTTCTAATTTTTATGGCGTATATAAACCTTGGTAACGGTTTCAACGAACTGGTAATTCCACTGATGAAGGGCCAGGCCCGAAACGTTTGGAAAGGATAATTTCAACCAACACGGCTCTTTTGTTCATGATTTCCTTTTTTTTAATGAACATTTTTGTTACTTCTATTTTCTAAAGTGCTACGCAGCTTAACGGAAATTCTTTCGTCATTTGTTGATCTTAAACTTGCTACGCCAACTTGCAACACCGGCAGGAGCTAACTATTGTCGTTGCAAATCAACCCGTTTAACATGAACTTTAAAATCGCGAAATCAACACGACTCCACTCGCGAGAAAACTAGTACAAGCCAACTTAAATTGTATAGCTCGTACCTAAATAGAAGATAACCCATAAAAATAAATGTAACATAGTAAATTATGATAAAAGTATAGCATAGTTTTGTTAAAATAATTTTATGTAACTTCAAAGGGCTCTTGGTATGTAAAATTGACAAGTAAAGTAAGGTAGTTTTGGAGTGTATAAAGTATTTGAATTGTGTAAACTTGTCTTCGTTTGGTCAAGCGATAAATATGCTGTTTTAGTAAAATCAAATTAGTGGTCTATTATCAATGCTGCGTTCTGATTAGTTGAGCTACTACTAGGCTATCTGTTACAGCCCTCTAGTAGCGAAAAGCGTCGGCTTTGAAAACCAAAACAATGGCGGCTGAATCGCGTTTTGCTAGCTAAAGTTGTTTTGTCTCGATATTTTTGACCAAGTAGTTGGATTTTACTAAAACAATTATTCGTCTCACCCTCATTGACTCAGAGCCTATTCGGGCTCGAGGAATAGTTGTTAAATATATATGCTGTGATTCAAATACTTGGTTCTAATTTTCCCTTGTTTTTAGATATAATTATGTTTTATAACGAGTTTGGAACAAAGTAAAATAGAATTTAAACCAAAAGGTTGGGAAACCAAGGTATAGGTGTCTCTCGTCTCATCATCATCGCAGCAAAGCTATATTTCAGGAGAGCGTTAAAACAGCAACCAGGCTCCTTTAGGGGGAGAAAAGGCACCTCTCTCTTCGCGCTCGTTACCGTTACTCGCCCTCCTCTTCCCCTAACGAGCCTGTTCCCAGGCTAAAAGAGCGTTAAGAAATAAAAGGAAACAATTGAGACTCCTTTTCTCTCTAGACTCTTTTGGCGAGTCTAGTTACATAGAAATCCGACTTGGTCTTTACTGAAAATATTCAGGGATTCTTACGTCCAGGATTTTTTACGTTCTGGAGTTGTTATGCTCAGGTATTCTTACCTTCAGGGGTTTTACATCCAGGGGTTGTTACGTCCAGGGGTCTTTCAGCCAGGGTTCTTACGTTGAGGGATCTTCCATCCAGGTGTCTAACATCCAGGGGTCTTACGACTTGGGGTCTTACATCGAGAGGTCTTACGACCAGGGATCAATTTAATAAAACATGTAAAAGTCCAGGGGTGTTACGACCAGGATCTTGCATCCGGCGGTGTTATGACCAGGGGTCTTCCATCCAGGGTTCTTACGACCATTGATCTTACATCCAGGGCCCAGTTGTTCGAAGGTCGATTAGCGCTTAACCCCGGTTTCTCTTCCTTGTGTTCAAAAGCATTTTCTCGGATAATTTTCTCTTTTATTTTTAGAGCTTCCAATCATCAACTTGTAGACAAGAAGAATTAAAATGGAAATGCTTTTTAAGCTTTCAAATCTGAATTCAGATCTCACACTAACCCTGGGTTATCTTAACCCAGCTTTGAACAACGCGGCCCAGGGATTTTAGTTCCAGGGGTCTTCCAACTAGGGGTCTTTCACCCAGGGGTCTGACGACCCAGGGTGTTATGTCCAGGGGTCTTACGACTAGGGGTCTAACATCCAGGGGTATTACGACCAGGGGTGTTATATCCAGGTCTTACGACCATTGATGTTTTATAAAATAACTGATAGTACTCGTGCTCTGATTGGCCGAGAGGAGTGTTTGCATGAGAGTATGTAACCATGGTTGTGGCGTCAAGATGTTTTGCTTTTCGGGCGCTAATGTCGCTAATCACGAAAGCACGAATTTGAAAAAGTTTTCCAGTTCAAAACTCGACAAGTTTACTTTATTTACCCAATCCATCGTCGGTTGAAAACTTGGAAAACCTTTACAAACAAGCCGGGTCAATTTTTTTCGCTTAAGCTGACATTTTAAGCGAGAAAAAACCGTATTTTGGAAAGCATCTTTTAACAAAATAAGAACTGATTACGCGTGCAAGACTTCGTGTACAAGACTTTGTGACAGGTAAGAATTTCTCCTTTTATCAGTGCCATAACAAAAAGTTTTGCGTTTTTTCTCGGAAATGATATTTTATAAAAGTAATAGAAAACTTTTTCCCTATGTTTGCCTATCCTCATATAAACACTCGAGGGGTTGGGAGAATTCGAGACAGTTATGTAACCCCTCGACTTCGTCTCGGGTTTGCATAACTGTCTCGAATTCTCCCAACCCCTCTTGTGATTATGTCAGGCTGTGAAAACACGGAAAACGTTTTCTATTGCTTAAACATCCATGAGTCTTACATCCAGAAGTCTTACGACCAGGGATCTTACATCCAGACGTATTACGACCAGGGGTCTTACATCCAGACGTATTACGACCAGGGGTCTTACATCCAGACGTATTACGACCAGGGGTCTTACATCCATGCGACAACAGGTATCTTACAACTCATGTAAATATTGCTATTCGTAACATATAAATATTTTTGCTACGACAGAGTATCTCCGTACAGACGAGTCGAAACAAAGCGTATGTTATGTTATCCATCGTTCTTACGACTAGGGGCCGTACATCCAGGGGTCTTGTATGATTAATCTATTCAATCGCATCTTGAATACTGGTATTACCCTATTCGCTGGAGTTTTGGCCTCGTTGTACTCATATACAAAAAAAGATGATCAATCAAAATCGAAAATTACCGGGATATTACTCTTCTCTCAGCGTTAGGTAAGCTCTTTACATCTATCCTTAAAAACAGATTGTACGCCTACATGATCGAAAAAGGAATAAGGCGGCTTTATAAAAATGCATATTTTCCCTAAGTTTGTGGGGAGGAGCGTTGCGTGAAGACACTAAATACGGCTGTGTAGCACACTACTGACGTGTTACTCGCCGTTTTAGTGTGCGTGATGACACTAAAAACGCCTGCGAGGGAGACTATGGGTAAAAAAAGGTTTTAGAAAAATCGCCACCACAGTTGTGTTAGATACAGCTGAAAATGTTTTATGATCAGGTTTGGAATGACATCGGATTTGTCATAGCAACGAAATGACACCATTACCTGGGAACTGTTCTTCCAAAGTCGTTCACGGGAGCTCTTTCTTCCAATAGCCGCCTCGATGCTCGTGAAGTTGAAGCGAAATCTGTAAGAGCGTTATCAGGATATTTTGGGATGAAGTTTTTATGGTTAGAAATACGGTAAAAGAAATAGACAATCTTGATATTCGGCCGTTATCTGTAGAAAACGAGGCGCTTGTGAAATGCAATTTCACCCCATAGTAGTTTCAATCGTTACAAACGTGTGTTACCAGCCGATTGCTAGAAAGAAGGATTTGATTAGCATTTCTTATTAGCGCTTTTGTAAACATTTTGGTGCACTTTGACAAATCAGCGAATAGTTTTTAAACCGGTAGGTAGATTTTTTAAAAAATTTAACATTCTTCAGATTAACCGTTCTTTTCAGTAAGTGACTTTTTAGTTTCAAGATTATTGATATACTGTAGGGCAGTAAAATAAGGGCTATTTCAGAGTTAACTGAGCGTGGTTGTGTTAAGGAAGTTCTTAATCCACCAAAGTTTATCAATCCTCTGCACGTTGTGCAGCAGTCCAGTGGGAAATGCAAGCTTATTTTGGACCTTTCGTAGTTAAACAGATTTATTTAGAAGCAGTCTGTTCGGTTCGAAGATATTCGCACTGTGTTTGACTTGTTTCAGTCAGGCTATTTTTTCTTCACCTTTGATCTCAAATCTGGTTACCATCACGTCGAAATATTTCCAGATAATCGCCATTATCTGGGTTTTTCTTGGAATTTTGGCTCGGTTGTTAAGCACTTCATTTTTACTGTTTTGCCTTTTGGAATGTCCTCCGCGCCGTACATTTTCAGTAAATTAGTGCGTACGCTCGTTCATTACTGGCGCGGTCTTGAGCGTCGGGTTGTTACTTTTTTGGACGACGGTATTGGCGGGAGCCCCGATTACGCTAGTTGCCTAGTCCATAGTCGTTTATGTCGTTCTGATTTGGACTCTGCGGGTTTCTTTGTGAACCTTCAAAAATCAGTGTGGGAGCCGTCTCAAGTCGGTACCTGGCTTGGTTTCCATCTAGATTTCAATCTTAATTTCATCACCGTTCCTCTTCCGAAGATTACGAAGTTGCATGAGAATATTTCGCGTATCCTTGCTCTGCGTTTTGTTAACGCTAAGGATCTAGCTAGCGTTGCTAGTCAGTTGAACTCCATGTTTTTGGCCATTGGAAACATTGTGCGTTTAATGTCTCGTGCCATGTACGCCCAGATTTCAGCTCAGAATTCCTGGTTTTCTAATTTTTATCTGGAAGATTCGGTTGTGGAAGAATTAGTTTTTTGGCAATCCAGCGTAGATCATCTCAATGGCCGTCGTATTTGGTTTAATCCAGTGCAGTCAGAGGTTCCTATTCGGATGCTAGTGACACCGGATATGGCGGTTACATTGATGAACTTGGGCCTCAGGTGGCCGCGCAAGGTGTTTGGTCGGCTGCTTTAGCAAAGGAAAGTTCCACTATGCGTGAGATTTTGGCCGTTAGAGACGTTTTGCAATCTTTTGCGCATAAGCTTGCAGAATTAGGTGTCAAATGGCACACGGAAAACCAGAATGTTGCGCGTATTATTGATGTCGGTAGCAGAAAGTCTGGTTTGCAAAGCGAAGCTAAGCTATTTTTGGGATTTGCGTTCATCATGGCATTTCTATCGAGCCTGAATGGGTACCCAGATCCAGAAATGAGCAAGCAGATTATTTAAGCCGTATTGTTGATTTTGATCACTGGTCTGTTAGTCCTCACTCTATTGATCGTTTTGCTGACGAGCATAAGCATTTATTACCTAGATTTGATTCCAGGTTTTGGAATCCTTACTGTGAAGCTATGGGCACCTTTACAAGGTCGTGGGACTTCGACAACAACTGGGTTTGTCCACCACCTCACCTTGTTCCGCGGACTCTGAGGCATATGAGGTCTTGCTACGCGCAAGGTACTTTGATCGTTCCGTTTTGGCGTTCTGCTCCATTTTGGCCTTTACTTACAACGGACGGTTCTCATCTGGCTCATATTTTTAAAGATTGGGTAGACCTGCCCCCCTTGAAGACGACTTTTTGCATGTGCTCTCAGTGTTCATCTGCTTAGTTTGGTAAGTGTTATATTTTTTTGGCTACCTTTATAATTTTCTCGTGATTCTTTTTTCAGTGAGTGGATGGCATCGGATAGTCTGAGGTCAGTGAATGGCCTTCAGGTAGCCAGTGGATGGCTTATGCAGATTCCCTTAGGATTATTTGTTTTAGCCAGTGGGTGGTTTACACTGATTCTATTGGCGTTATTTGTTCTTTGCTATAGCCAGTGGATGGCTCGCACGTAGCCAGTGGGTGGCTTACGTCGATTCTATTGGCATTATTTGTTATAGCCAGTGGGTGGTCTACACAGATTCTATTGGCGTTATTTGTTCTTTGCTATAGCCAGTGGGTGGCTTACGTCGATTTTATTGGCATTATTTGTTATAGCCAGTAGAAGGTTTACAAGGATCGGTTGACGTTATGTGTTCTAGCCAGTGGGTGGCTTGCGCAGTTTCATTTAGTTTTGTTTAGTTTTATTAGTTGTACTTGTCCTGCCAGTGGGTGGCCTGTGTGCAGCCAGTGGGTAGCATACGCAGGTTCTTTCGTTGTTCTTATTTTTCCCGTTCTCGACCGCTCGGTTTGGGCGGCGCTTGGCTTGAAGCGTGCCGCACCCAAGGTTTGTGTGTTTTCTTGTTGGGACAAACTGAGATTTAGAGGAGAGTAGTATTTTCCTGCGTTTGACTTGGTAATTAGCAGGAAAATACGCTCTCATCGGTATCTTATGTTAGTTTAGGCGTGTGCGCTGGTATCTGGGTAATTAGTAGGGGCATATACTTGGGCGTGCTGGTTTTGTCTTTCATCTCGGTCTTGCTGTTCCAGCGTTCGGGTCATTTTTGTTTGTTTTTAATTTTTTAGTGGGTTTGTGTGTTCTTTTTGCTTTTATTTTGCAGATGTTTTCAGCTCTACTATGTGGTCGGATCTTCAGGCTGCGGATCCAGTGTTTTTCAATCCCTTGCAAGTTCTCTTCCGGATGTTGCGTTGGCTAACAGAGCACTCAGTACTTCCTCCAAGTATTTTTCCTCTTACAACAGATGGAGGTCTTGGGCACGAGAACATGGCTTGACAGTTTTTCCCGCTTCTCCGTTTCACTTTGCTATATATTTGCGTCATTTAATGACTGAGGCGAAGACAGCATCTCCCCTGGAGTTAGCAGTTCACAGCATTGCCTGGTTTCAACAGCTGAGTGGCGAGCCGTCTCCTTCTGATCATCCGTAGGTGAAGAGTACTCTTGCCGATGCGTAGCGTTTGCTGGCCCATCAAACTACCAAGAAGGAGCCTATCACAGTCTCTCAGTTAGAGCAGTTAGTTGCCTCCAAGGCGGACTCAATCGCCTCTTTGTATAATATTCGTTCGGTTGTTATTTGCTTGCTAGCTTTTGCTGCCTTTCTCAGATTTGATGAGCTTGCTAAGCTTGTTCGATCCGATGTTAAGATCGAAAATGAAACGTTAAAGTTATTTATTCAACCTAGTAAAACTGATCAGTATAGGGACGTAGGTTGGATTGTTGTAGCTTCTTCTAGGAAAGCAACTTGTCCGGTTGCTATGATGAACCGTTATTTAGATAGAGCTGGGCTTTCCTGCGACAGCCCTTTGTTTTGCCAGCTTTCCAAAACTAAATGTGGTTATAAGCGTAGATCTAAAGGTTTAAGCTATTCACGGTTAAGAGAGTTAGTGCTAGAGGCCTTAAAAGATATTGTACCTGATATTTCTGCCATTGGTACGTACAGCCTTAGGAGTGGCGGGGCTACTGCTGCCGCAAATGCTGGCGTGCCAGACCGACTTTTTAAGCGTCATGGCCGCTGGGCTAGTGAATCGGCTAAGGACGGGTATATCCAAGATTCTATATCTTCTCGTTTGTCGGTTTCTAAGGCTTTAGGTATTTAGTTTTCTCGTTCGTACCGCTTTAAATTGATTCTAGTTTCTATTCAGTTCGTCTTGCCTGGGGGACCGTTTTTTATAGGGTACAGCTGGCCTGGGGTTTTCCTCCTAGGTGCAAGTGGACGTACGGGGAGGTTTTTCACCCAGTTGTTGTTCCACGACCCCATTTCAATTAGCTTGTAATCTAGTTCTTTGGAGCTTTATGTTACTTGGATTGTATATTACGTTCTCTTGAGAACGTGAACGGCAAGGCGGTAAATTTTAGTGTGTGTGTGTCTGAGCTCGGACGCGGTCTCGGGCTTCATTTCCCAACCTTTACATCGCCAACTGACGATTGCGTTTTTCGCTGCTGTCAATCATCTTAACGGACATCTTTATAGGAAACAAATTGTGAAGGCGGCTTATGAACGTTAGAGTTCGCATGTTTGTGAAAAGCGCAGTAAAATGACCTGTTAAACCTACTCGTTATCAAACTTAATCCTTGGCTTAAGTTAAAGAGTCACCTCAAAAGCGACCGCAACGGCAACAGTCTAGATTTCCAAGGAAAACAGAGAGCGTCCTTCCTCCAATAATGTAATTATGAACACGTTGTATCTCAGATCATGTGTAAACGAGACACCCATCAGAGACGTTCACTGGGTTGCCATACACTTCAGGTTTGCTACATAGATATATTGTACTACCTCCGGGCTTTATTCAACCGAGTGCAATAGTCTAATAGGGACCTAAGTTAAGCAACGAGCACGTTGACTTCCACTAGAAAAATTGATCAAGTCCAGGACGTTAAAAGTGGAAACCGGAAGCCGTAGCCTGCGTAGCAAGCGTTTCCATTTGGTGTCGGAGCAAAGAAAGACCGGTTTTGGCCGCGCGAGAAATGAAATGAGAGCCAAAAAATGAAAGAGGAGGGAGGGGGAGGGGAAGGAAGGAAACGCTGTTTCCTTCCTTTCTTCCCCACCCCCTCTCCGCTCTTTTACTTGTGCCATTTTTCGCGCGGTCTTTGACTCTCGTTCCTCGTTCTTTGCTCCTGAACCGCACGGAAACGCTTGCTACTGGATATTTTCTTTTTTTCAGTGCTTTGACTCATCAAATTCCTACAGTGGAAGGTAAAAGGATTCGTTGTGTGAGATAGAAGCGTTCCATCAAGAAAAAACATTGAACTTCCGGTTGCTATTCATGAAGTCCGCGACGGTCAGCGTTCTCTTTGCATTTAAAACGTGTCAGGTCATCGCAATGTGTATTGCGCCACGGCACCAATGGTTGCACATTTGTGTTAAATTAATTAGCTTTAACGTTTTTGCCCATAAAATTCTGCCGGTAGACGCTGTTTGAAACTAGTAGAGCTTTATTTATAAAGAATTCAAAGATGTATTCGAGGAAAATAAGCAGGGTTTTGACGGTAAAAGCTGTACTTGACCTCATTTCGTCGCATTTGAAATGGCCGACAAAGCAAAACTATCGCGGACTCTCTTGCTAACGGCGTTATACTGCATTTACATGAGAAGAATCAATTTCGATTCAGCAACAGTGAACATTTCTGTTTTTATTAAACAAAGAAACATTTCATTTCAGGGTCAGAATGATATTTCCCAAAGGCCGTGAGAAAAGTTAAAAAATCGTGAGACTCACGGTAGAATCGTGAGCTTGGACCACTTGGGGAGTCGAAGAGCAATTGCTGATCTCTTCATCATGTTTATCGCCTGGACGGGTCAAAAAGCTTCAAAAGTTCAAAAACTATAGTGCTAATTTGAAACATTCAAAGTCCACATGAAGACAACTTATATCGTCCTATGGAAGCTACAAAATCAGAACATCGAAAGCTCTGGGCACAATGCAAGCTCAGCACTTCTTTATCACAAGGAAGTTTGGGAACTATCGATCTGTCGGGTAATTTTGTGCGAGTCGACTAATTACAAAAGTGTCCACACCTGAGGGACACATTTGTATATCGCAGTGTGTTGAGGCCTCAAATGTAATAAATGACCCTAAATGTAATAAAGGTCCTAAGTGTAATAACTTTTGGCCCTAAATGTAATAAAGGTCCTAAATGTAATAACTTTTGGCCCTAAATGTAATAAAGGGTCTAATTATATGTGTGATAGGTTTTAGCCCTAAATATAATGGAAGTCTTAAAAGTATACATGTATGTAGTATAACAGCCCCAAACTTGATAAGGTCCCTGACTGAAACATGCGACGGTCTGACGCGATATTAGTGTTATAGCCAGCAGGCGATTCACTTTCTTCGCCCTATTGTAGTCTTCATAGATATTCATTAACTTAGAAAGCGGCTAGAGCGCTCAAGAAGTAGGAGAAACACTTATAAGTTAACTACGTCTCGATCGTGTTTCCTACTACATCCCTACATCGTGAAACGCGAGTTATAAACAAATGGAATCTACACAAAAGTTTTCAAAATACAGTAGTAATTTAGTAATTGAAGGAAGTATTAATGTTCATTAGAAACAATCGTAGTAAATTAAATACTTTTGCCTATGGGGTTTTTAAATGTTGCGCCAAAAAAAGAAATGTTTTTTATTTATCATTTTCCAAAAGACTATGTGGGTCGGTCCATACAGAATGCTGTGAACACGAAGTTATATATAAACAGCAAGATATTAAGGGTAGTATATCTTTATAGTTACACTACAGGCTGCCTTTGCCTATTAAACAGATTTTTTAGTTCAATCCAGTGGATAAAGTTACAGTTTCTTGAGAAAATTTGCTATAATAAATGAGGTTTTTTTGTTTTGTTACATAGGTTTTAAGATATGTCAGTCCTTTTTTGACATTAAAGAGTTCTTAAAAAATTTGCTTCATATATTGGACCTCTGTTTTCAAGTTGTCGTTAAAGAAGTATTATTGATAACAATGCTAACTATTAAAACCTATTTACAATTAATTACTATTCGGTCAAAGGACTATTTACAATTCACTTCGATTAAACATTCTTTTCAGTTAATAATGATAATAAAAATAACAGTGATAATGATATCAATAACTGAATAATAAGTTGTTACTCAAATGGCTATATAGGGGATCTGTCTGGGGTATTTAGTGTTTGATATTCCCTAGACACATTCTGGCGCTCAGTTAACCTGTAATGAGGCTAAAAGCAAACGCTATGAAATCTTCTTATGACCCTACGTACATAAAGAGCTGAAAGAATTACACTTAGGACCTTTATTACATTTAGCGCCAAAAGTTATTACATTTAGGGCCAAAAGTTATTACACTTAGGACCTTTATTACATTTAGGGTCATTTATTACATTTGAGGCCTCAACACAGTGTCCGCAGTAACTCGTTCCTTACGCTACGCGTAATCCACGAGTTTAAAATTGGCCGGATACGTGTGGACGGGGCCTGAATGGTGGTAAACCTCGTTTCGAAGGGATTTTTAACTCGATAAACATAAAGTACTGTTTAGAAGTAATATATCAAAAACGAGTGCGAGCTCATCATCTGGGTATCCAGACACCGAGAAAGAGATGAAAAGCTTCGTGCTTTTAATGCTTGGAGCTGGGACACCCCGATGAAGCACGATATGATATGGCTTCTTACTCTTAAAAAATGATAAACGAATACTTCCAGTTTGAATTGTTTCTCATGTAACATTCCTTCTCCGATTATGTCAATATCAATGATGTTTTTGTCAACGAGTCAACCGAGCTAAGAAGCGAGGTTTCCTCGGCGGCAGATTCATAACGCCGCGCAATGTAGGAAAAAATTTTCAAGTTCTGCGTAACCCTCTATAATTTGAATTTTTGACCATATTTGGGCAATGATGTAATAGTCTTTTATTTGAAACTTGTGGTTCGAGATTGGGTGATCCAGTGTGAAAGTGATCGTTGTCTGTTCCTGAGGACCTAACAGGTGAGAAAGCTTCACTATGATTTTTCGTCTGAAAGAGCTATTAGTGCTCGGTTTTGCTTTATAATTTGCGTTAAAGGGTAAGACTAATCTGTGGAACTGCAGACCGCGGAACCTGGGGAACCCAAAGAAATGACTGTTTTAAAAACTGCCTTTGGCTAACGTGACAAAATAATTAGTTACAATTAATTTTTTACAACGACTGAGCGTTTTTTCGCCCGCTGATTGGTCGAGAGCTATTGTCAGTAACAGTACAGGCCATTGAACACTGTTATCGATTTGTTTAGTAACACTGATCGAGAGCTCTGATTCCGAAACAGAAAGTCCACGAATCGCAGACTCCCGGCTTGTTAGTAGTCGTCGGAAGGAAACGAGAGGTATAGATTCAAACACAGTAGCATGAGAGAACGGAGAGGCTATTGGCGCCTGCCGTCACTTTTGGTGACCGCTCTACACCCACCATACACAC